CACCACACAGACAATTCAAACTGTTTGTTCATACTTTGGCAAGGGACAGAGCATGCGGAGTGTGAACAGTTGAGCCCTGACAAAATGACATGTTTGCCCAAGGAGCTGGCACTGCAATTGCGTAATGGTGTGTGTGTGTGTGTGTGTGTGTGTGTACGTACTGGGCTAACCCTGCTGTTTACCGTAGGGGTTCTAAGAGAATTGTAGGCAGCTGGCAACCGTTGTTTTTTTTTTTTTTTCTTCTCCTTATCCGCTAGTTGCGGTGGGCAGTGTTTGCTGCTCCACTTAATGTATTGTAGGAAAACATGAACTTTTTATTGTTGTTGTTGACCATGAAAAGATGCAATAATATGCCTCCAGCAGTGCGTATATGCTCTCGGTCTACTCTGCGCTTGCTAATGATATTTTTTGGACTCTTGTGAGACATACAGTAAGTTCATCTATTAAAAGTAGAAATTGATAACTAGACTAAATTCAAAGGAAGACATTTTGGTGTTAATAAGTGCATCAAATTTGAGGTCATCGGGTATCTAGAACAGTGTTGTGCATGCGGTTTACCAGGACTGTTTATGGATCGTGGCCATTGTCAATATGTGTTTATTCTGATGGTTTGGTTCATTTTTTTTTTTTTTTTTTTTTTTAGATGTCTGCTATGAGTCTTATTCAGGTCAGAAGGGATGAACTTCAAACAACACTCCAGATTGCCGTTGGGTGTAAATTGACTCATGGTTTAAATTTCCCACTTTCCCGCCGAATTGAAACACTGCCATTATTGTTGTATTTATAGCTCAGAAACAACATCCTTCTTCAAAGTTAATCTTCATTTTGAACGATAACTGGGAGAGCTTCTTTGAGGCAAACTAGATGCGGTTCGGGGTAATAAAGCACGGACACCAGTGGACCCCTCTATACCATGTTGGTTGAAGCATGAACATACTGTATTTGGCATTCATTATTACGAAAATATTTATAAACGTAATTGCAGCGGTGATGTTATTCGGGTGGCAATGAAAGAAGTTATTCCCGTACAGGCAGATGTTCTGACAAACCAGCCAGAAATAATGTTTAGGAGGATCCTGACTACTAAATAATAATGATAACTGATCATTTTGAGTGATTTGAACTGTTAATTTTCTCTGCGTACATCACACCAACATTTCTTTCCTTTGTCTTGTTTTCATAGGCTTCCTGCCAGCGGCCCTGGGATTTTGACCAACTGTTCTCTTTTCTATGCTTTCCCAACCAATTTTGGGGGAATATTTTGGATCGTAAACAATTTGGGGGCGACCCTTCCAAAACAAACTACTTTGCTGCCTTGTGCGCTGACCACGCTTCGGCTTGTCAACATTAGCTGCCAGGATGGAACGCAGCAGTTGGAGTGGCAGTGAGAGTCCCGGGGACGACATAGACAGATTGAGTGACTCTGGAGGGGACAAGACAATGGACGGGGACCCTGAAGGGGTGTGGAGCCCTGACATTGAGCAAAGCTTCCAAGAAGCCCTTGCCATTTACCCGCCATGCGGAAGAAGGAAAATTATACTGTCGGATGAAGGAAAGATGTATGGTGAGTGCTAATGAACTAAATCACTTCAGGAGGAATACTCACTCATAAATTGTGCTGTTTGTACTGTTTTCATTCAATATTAGTCTGCATTGTAACAGCAATGCCCCAATGACCCGCCAGGTTTGTTGTCCGATACAAATGAACACCTCACCCCAAATAGAAACCTCCTTTGCCCTCAAGAACAAAAAACAAAACAAAAAAAAAAAAAACAGTGCTTATTTACTCTGATCCATCCATGCATTGATGCTGAAGTATTGTTCACAAACGGATATTAAATGTTGCTGTCTATGTGGCTAACTAAAACAGCAGCACCTATCCAGACATATAACAGCTCTTCAAATAATAAATGTGGAGGCTTTTTGGCTGCCACCTGGATGTTAGCCCCTCTCAACCTGTTCCACTGTGTGGCACGATTGAACAACTTGTTTCCGCCAAGCAATGCATTTTGCAATGAATCAGCAAAATGCAAACATGTACCTGCATGAATCAATTCGGCCATGTTCGCAAATAAAGGCCTAACCCTAGGACGCCTGATTGTCTCTGCTATTATCACACTGTTATTATGCTACTGATGAAATGAAAACAATCTGTTCAACCCTAAAAGTGACTGACTTCAAATGAATTTAATCTGTAACATATAGGAACAACAAAAAATGAGTTCCAGGGTCTGAATTTCAGCCATTAGAAAACGGATCCGTCATACAGGTATTTAGTCAAGTTGCAAACCTTGAGTACACCTTTTGCTGCAAAATTCCTGATAAGATATATCAATGTTACCTTCATCATGATTGATAAAGAGTGAAAGGTTATACACGTGAAAAAAGCAGGACATCCACCTTTCAGTTTTCCTTTCTTTTTAAAGTTTTTCTCCCCAGTATGCTACTTTGATTCTTTGTGCCAATGGAGTTACCCCTGAAAAAAATTCTCTCAATTTCTGCGGGAGCGCGCACACATTGGGTGAAAGCGATGCGACATTACTTGCTTGTTTTCATTTAAAGACACGAAGAACACACTTTTGTGTTATTTGAAAAAGTGGTTTTATGAACAAGGTTGTGGGGAAAAAAAAGTGCTTGGATTCAATGATCGATAGTCAGCTACGCGGAGAAGCAAACGAAAGCAAGCAGTCTGCTCTGCTCACTCGCTTTCGGTCGTTGACTCGAGGTGCGTTCAACGACCACTCACACAGTGGGACATCGCATTAGCGATGCATTCAATGCCCCAAAAAGCAATTACTGGAACGGAAATACACTGCAGGGAATATCCGGAAGCGTCATATAATTTGACGCATTAAAATCAGACCATCCGCATGCCAACTTAAGGTGCAGGGGCAGAGGATGCAGTCTTCCCTCGGGAGTATCTACGTTGCCAAGACATCGGCAGAGTGCTAGCATTAGCATCTAGCTTCGATGTGCTCAGCTCAAACCTTCGATGGCCGCAAAGAATTTTCGAATGAGCAGTTGCTGTCTGGACTTGTTGACACGAAAGTTTGATTGCTGCAGTAATCTCAATAGTCAGTCTTATATTTCTTTATTGATATATTTAAGGTGAAGCATAGATATGACGTCACTGACTTCTTCATCGTCAAGGACAGGTTATGCGTGTGCCACCATGGGGTCAGTTAGAGGGACTGCAATTGAAAATGTAAATGTTACTCGAAGCAATCTTATTTTCCCTCTACGTTTTATTACACTTACACGTAACGAAATTATTGAAGAAATTTTGATGATGATGATTACTATTATTATATTTCATACTCATACTCCAGCAGGATTGGCACCAGGAATATACCCCCCCTTGAACACAAATAACATTTCTTTCCACGTGGTAATTTGGTTTCAATCTAATTGGAATACAAGGCCCTATGTAAACGTGAATAGTGATAATCTTGATGTGTTTACTGAACAAGTAATTTGCAAACACATGCTTTTACATGGGGAAAATACCATTTCCTCCTATTTTCTAACTCTTTACAAACCACTGTAGATACTGAATCATAATTTGTGGATTTTCTGCAATGTCTAAGTGAATCAATGTCCTGTTTTTGAATTTAAAAAAAGGATAAGAAATTAACAATTGTTAAATATCCATCCATTTTCTAATCCGCTCAACCTTACAAGGGTCGCTGGCATGCTGAATCCGATCTCAGCTGTCTTCGGCAGGTAGGCGGGGGACACCTTGAACTGGTTGCTAGCCAATCGCAGGGCACACACAGGGGAACAACCATTCGCGCTCACACTCACACTCACACTGAAGGACAATTTAGTGTGTTCCATTAGCCTGCCATGCATGTTTTGGAAATCGGGAGAAAACCAGAGTACAGTACCCGGAGAAAATCCACGGAGGCATGAGGAGAACATGCAAACTCCACACAGGAAGGCCAGAGCTGGAATTGGACTCTGCACCTCTGCTCTGTGAGGCTGATGTGCTAACCAGTCGACTACGTGCCACCCAATTGTTAAATAAATACATCTAATTAGTCAATTAAATGAAAAAAAGCAACGGATTAATTGATTAAGAAAAAATGGTGGTTATAGCTCTAAAACCAAAACTGTTACTCCAAATTCACACGATTGGTATCAGTATGGACTGATCATACTCATGAATGATCGGTATCGGCAATTTAAAACCCCAATCGGAACATCCCTAGCGAAAACAATTTTGGAAAATTACTTAACTTTACAATCAGCCTGATAACTAGAAATAAGCCACAGTTTAGCTGTCGGAAAGGGTGTAGTGGCCATCGGGAATTTTGTGAGGTTCCTGAATGGCCAGCGTATTTCCGGGCTGGTCGGACACCCTAACCCCCAACCTACCCCATTGACGAATATGTATGGCTGTGTCACAGCCACACCATGGTGGGATCATGGGTAGCAATCTCTCCCTGCACATATTGCGTGGGTTTTCTCAAGGTCCTCCTGTTTCCTCCGACATCCGCAATCTGAATGGACAAGCAGTACAGAAAATTGATGGATGGATAAAACAGAGCCAGAGTTCTATTCAAAATCAAAACTGTGGTTTTCTCAGATTACAGGTATGGGGTGTCAGAAATTTGCAGAATGGCTGTAACGCTGTCAATGTGTGTGTGTGTGTGTGTGTGTGTGTGTGTGTGTGTGTGTGTGTGTGTGTGTGTGTTTATCGCCGTGCATATGCTTCATGATTTTACTGATGGGGGCGTATACGTGATGGGGGGGGGGGTGGCGGTGGCTCAGTTGTTAGAGTGGTGGTCTCCCAATCCAGTGGTTGGGACTTCAATCCGCCAATATTGCGACCTTGTCGAAGTGTCCTTGAGAAAGATACTGAACCCCCAGTTGCTCCTGATTCTGCGTCGTCAGTGGGTAAAGGAGGAAACAGAGTAAAGCGCTTTGAGTGCCAAAAGTGGAAAAGGGCTGTATAGGTCAGCCCATTTCTCATTTGCATTTACCATCACATCTTGTGGCTGTAAACTTGTTATAACCGTCACTCTTGATGACCTTTGCGCACCAAAAAGGGAAACAATTTGAGATTAATCTATCGAGTATGAACTATTCTGGACATGCTTTGTGGACCCCACACACCTGAATAGATTTGCCACACACAACTAGTCCTTCCAAATGTGGTTTATTACCTGTCTTAATGATGACAAGCTGGAATGGCAATTTCGTATACTGTACAGTATACGTTTTGCCAACCATTTCACAGGCACTTTTCATCTGATTTATTTATGCAAGGTAATGCTGTGAAATGCAAAGTAAGCATCCGCTCTTTGTAGTGTGATGCGAGTAATGAATCCTCCCCCAGTCAGGGATATAGTAAAAAAATCAAAGTCATTCTTGGCATGAAGCAGCACACGTTGAACAATGGTGTGACATCAGCCAAAAAAAAAAACCTGTGGTGCATGCGAGGCAAGTTGTGGAAGTTGGGCTGAATTTGGGAAGGAAGGTCAACCCCTGAAAAAATTATGGAAGACATCATAGTTCCACAGAAGCGCACAGAGATGGCTGAACTTCTGAAATTCACCTACGAATATCACTGCGAGCCAAGAAGCTTCATCATTCCAAATCTAGCCAGAAAATTTGGCACGCCAAAGTCAGTAAACTCTTGAAAGTTCAATCGCGGACTACCAAGACAATGTAAAGAAAGTTCCATAAAGTCCACAAGGAGTGGTCGAAAGAGTCGCCTGATGTGTTTCTCACAGCGGTCAGGGTTACCCGTAAATAGAGGGTGGAGCTTTGTGATGACCACATCCGACAAGGATGCACCCCAAGCTGGCCATATAGTGCTGAAACGTGACCCCAAACCTACACTGTTACAGCCGTTGTCCACAAGAGAGAGCCGAAGAGCCCAAAGGGTCCCCACGACACACGGACACCAGAATGTGTGTTTGTACTTGTGTGTGGGTGCATGTTTGAACTAATATAATAATGAGCAGATGGTCCTCTGGCTGCCACCAGCTGTGCCTCCCTCTTGCCCTTCTCTCTGCTTGCAGAGTGCTCTCTAGTGAATTCTTTATGATACCGTGTCAGATCGGAGCTTCTATAAGTAGAAAAAGAAGATCTTTGATTTGAAGTACTTCTTTTTCTTTTACTCTTGATGCTGCTGGAGTCTTGTGTGTGTGTGTGGGTGGGGGGGGCGAATGAGCAGATGGTCCTCTGGCTGCCACCAGCTGTGCCTCCCTCTTGCCCTTCTCTCTGCTTGCAGAGTGCTCTCTAGTGAATTCTTTATGATACCGTGTCAGATCGGAGCTTCTATAAGTAGAAAAAGAAGATCTTTGATTTGAAGTACTTCTTTTTCTTTTACTCTTGATGCTGCTGGAGTCTTGTGTGTGTGTGTGGGTGG